CGGACCTAGTATAGACCTTACTATATTTACTTTATATCTTTTACGTATAAGTAGTTTATTAAGGGCAATAAACTTTATAACTATTATAGCTAATATAAGAATACTAGGTATAAGACTATATAAATTAGCTTTATTTAGATAAGCTATAGTTATTATAGCTATTTTATTATTATTATTATTACCTATCTTAGTAAGAGGAATTATAATAATTTTAATAGATAGAAACTTTAATACTTCTTTCTTTAAAGTAGCTAGAGGGGGTAATCCTATATTATTCTAATATCTTTTCTAATTCTTTAGTTATCCTAAGGTTTATATCTTAATTATACTAGGTTTCGGTATAATTAGTATAATAATCTTAGCTAGTTTAAGTAAACCTATATTTAGTTATATAGGTATAGTTTACGCTATAATATCTATAGGGATATTAGGATTTATCGTCTAAAGTTATTATATATATACTATAGGACTAGACGTAGATAAATAGGTATTTACGGTAAAAATCTTACTATATACTAGAAACTTCTATATAAATAGTCTACTTATATTTATTATGTTAGGAACAATTTACTTATTTTTAGAAAAATTAGTAAGTAACTTTACTATTAATAGAATAGCTATAGCAATAACTAAAAATACTTATAATAAATATACTAATTTACCTTAAATTTCTAATTATTTATCTAAATATAAAACTAATCTTATAGATAAGGAATTAGGGTATTTTCTTATAAGATTAATAGAAGGTATTAGTTAATTTATTAAAAAACAATTATATATTGTTTTTAAATAATCTAATATTTTATTAGCTTACTATATTAGAAAATAAATAAGGTATAGTAGTATAGATAAAATTAATAATAAAAAAGCAGTAAGATATATTTATAAAGATAAAAAAGGTTTATTTATTATCTTATCTTTAATAAATAGTAAATTTATAACTAAATCTAAATATAATTAATTAATTCGATAAAATTATAGTAAATATTTTAATATTAGAATTTTACCTCCTTTAAAAAGATTATTTTTAGATAATTTTTAATTAGTAAGGTTTACTTAAGCTAATAGTTATTTCTATATTAATATTATTAAAAGTCTAATAAATAAAATAGGATATAGCGTAAGGTTAATATATTCTATAAAATAAAAGGATAAATTACCTCTAGAACTTTTATATAATTATTTAAAGACAGGTAATATTACTTAAGATAGCTTAGGTATATAGTATTATAAAAGTTTAGATTTTAATATAGTACCTCGTTTAATAAATTACTTTAATAAGTATTATATATTTAGAGGAAAATATATAAATTTTATTAAATTTAGAAAAGTATATAGAATAATTAGAAAAGGTAAGCATTTATAAAGTAAAGGTATAAAAAAATTATAAGTATTATAACTAAAGGATCTTTAGAGATAAGTACGTAAGAAATTTAATATAGGTATATAAAAAAGAAGAAACTTCTCTTACTACTACTATAGTTACTATTCTTTCTCTACGTAGTATATACGCTCTATATTCCGATTTCTTCCTACTACTTTATACTTATCCTTATTTATATAAATAAGTAAGCTAAAACTAAGAAAAAAAATTTAGTAGCGTGCGCTTTACTAAGAAAAAAGATAGCTAATAAAGCATTAAATATAGCTTCCTTATCCCCTTTTATAATCCCTAGTTTATAAACCCGTAAGATATATAAGCTAAGATAAGAAGCATTATTATATAGAAGTATCCGGTTTTTAATATATTATAGTATAAAATAGGGGATATAGGTATAGCTTTATATTCTAAACCTTTAGTTTAGAAAAATAAGTAAGTAAGTAAGCTACCCTAATAATATATAGTTATCTACTTTATTAACTTATAGTTCTATCCTTTTAGACTAAAGCTTATTTTATAGCTATAATACTAATTATTATAGTTCCTATAAGGATAAAAATTTTCTCTTAATTAGCTATATACTATAGGGGGTCTATAAAAATAATACCTTTAATATTATTTTTACTAGGTTTCGTCTTTATATTTATAATTAAACGGTTAAGTAGAGTTATATTAGTAAACGTATTACTTAATATTATATTCTACGATACTTACTATATTATTGCTTATTTCTATTATATTTTAAGTATAGGGGTAGTATTCGCTATATTTATAGGGTAATATTTTTAAATACCGAAAATATTAGGTCTAAATTACGATTTAACTTTAGCTAAAGTATAATTTTAACTTTTATTTATAGGTATTAATCTTATATTTTTCCCTTAATACTTTTTAAGTTAATAATAGGCCTTTTTTTATAGCGATATAAAATTTATATAATACTATATACTAGAAACTCTATTTAACTTTAAGCTTTATAAATAGATAATTAGTAGGAAACTAAAAAGTAAATATATATTTACTTTAATAGGATCTTTAAAGACTATATATATTATAACTTTTAAGTTAAAGAAATAGTCTAAATAATATAGCAATATATTTATATATCTTACTAGTTTATAAACCTTATTATCTTTTAACTTTTAAAGATTATAACTATAATAATTATATATTCTTAAAGAGTAATTATAATAAATACCTTAATAAAGATTCTAATTAATTAAATAGTTTAGATTTATATAGTATTAAAGATACTTTAAGTACTACTTATAAACTAAAATAAGATCTATATAATAAAGACTTTATTTAAAAAATTATAAATAGTAATAATTTAATTACTATTAAACCTAAATACTAGTTTAATTAAGAATAAAAATTATATTTAATTAATTTAAAAGTCACTCTAGTTTCTTATATATATAATCTTTTAAAAGATAGAGAAACTATTTTAAAGGAATATAAGAATAAAGGTAGTATTTATATTATATATAATAACGTAAATAGAAAGTAATATATAGGTAGTAGTAAGGATTTAAGTAAAAGACTAGCTACTTATTCTTTTTCTTCTCGTTTAGTTAATAGCTATTATATTTATAATTCTATTTTAAAATATAGGTATAGTAATTTTTCTATTATAATTTTATATGTTTTAGGTAATACTAGTATATTTATAAAGAAAAATATTATTTATAAAGAATAATAATATATTAATTTATATAAACCTATACTTAATTTAAACCATAGGGCTAGATCTAGTATAGGATTTAAATACTTAGAAGAATCTAAAAGACTTATATCTAAATTCCGTAAAGGTAAACCTCTACTTAAATATACTAAAAAGAGACTTAGTGTTTTATTTTCGGGTGAATTAAACCCTTTTTAATCTAAAGTATACTCTCCTATTACTTTAGAGAAAATAAGTATATCTAAACTAGGTGCTTTAAATCCTATGTTTAATAAGGAAAAATCTAAGGAATTTATTATATATATAAATAAAGATAGAGCGGGTTCTAATAATCCTATGTTTAGTAAAACTAAATCGGAAGAAACCTTAGCTAAATTAAGAAAGAAGGTTTATATTTATAATAGTAATAAGTAGTTTATTAAATACTATAATAGTATAGGATTTATTATAAAAGATTTATATATAGTAGCTAGAACTATTAAAAAGTATTTAGATATAGATAAACTTTATAAAGATAAATACTTTTATTTAAAATTATAATAAATTTATTTATAAGTAAGATATAAAAATACTATAAGGTATACTTAGAAGAATAAGCGACTATCTTAATATATTTTTAGGATGAAATTTAATAAGTAGTATAGGATCTATAGTAAGTATAGTAGCCGCTTAATTATTTTTATATATTATTTATAAATAATTAGTAGAAGGTAAAGTAGCTAGTAGAAATCCTTAATTAATACTAGGGTTCTATATAGATATATTATAAGCTAATTTAAATAGATATTATAGTAGTTTAGAGTAAGGGTTAATAAGCCTACCTAAACCTTATATATTTATAAGTTTACCTTTATAATCTATAATTAATTTAACTTAAACTATATTATTTTTATATAGTTTAGTAATTAGTATTTTATTAGGATAATTTAGGTGTATAAGTAGCCCTTAGGGCTACTTTGCTAGAAAAATAAATATTTAAATTTTCTTTTATAATAATAGTAGATTTATTATTACTTTTATTTTTAGTATATTAATATTAACAATAATTTTTATTATATTAGATTATTCTATAATAACTATATATTATCTTAATAAAGAAAATCTATACTATAAAAATTTATAGAGGCTATAGTTAAAGTTATAAAAGATTATAAAGTATAATATTTAATTTATAAGAATAAAGTTAGTTTTAAGGCAGGAAAAGTAAATATTAATATACCTTCTAGTATATTAAATAATATAAGCTATTATAGAGGACTCTACTACTATTATAGGAGGATTAAGTATAGGTATAGGTTTAGCGGCTAAAAGTAGTTCTCTCTTAGTAAAAGCTAGATTTACTAAGGAAATAAGTATTTTAGTAATAGTATACTTTAGGTACTACTATAAATAAACGTATTAATAATAATTCTAATATAAAAGATAAAGTAAATATATCTAAAAATAAAAGTCTATATTTAGCTAAATCTATAATTAGAGAAGGAGATAATAACTTATTTATAGCTTAATACGTAATAGATTTTCTAAATACTTATTTAATGTTAGATAGTATAATATTATACCTACTTTTTATATAAAAAAAAAATTTTGGTACTAAAGTAGTATAAAATAAAATTAGTTTAAACTAAATTAAAGCTTTACCTATTAGCAATAATATATATATAAGATTAGAAAAATTAATAAAGAGGTAAGAATAGTTTTATTTTCTTTATATTAAATTAAATTATTATTATTATAAGTATAAGTTTTTTTATTTATTATTTAAATTAATTTATTATTAATTTTTAAGATATTTATTATATATATATTAATATAAAAAACAAATAGAATATCGTATAATATATAGTTACTTAATAATTTATAAAATAACTACTTATAATATATCTACCCTAAATTAAAATATTCCTTATTTATATTATAGATAGGATATTTTAAGTCTTATTAGCTTAATAGTAAAGCATAATACTTCTAATATTACGATCTTAGTTTAATTCTAAGATAAGGCTAGCGTTCCTTATACTAGTAAAGCATAGCTAGGAATGCTACTTTGCTTTAGTACTTATTCCCTACCTTATAACTAGACCTCCTTTATCGAAGCTATTACCGTAGACGGCCGTGCCCTTACTCCTAGTATTACTTTCGAGGGCAAAGAACTCTAGAAATAGTAGTTTATAACGGAATTCGGCAAAATAGCCGACTAGTATTATATTACCTCGCTTAACGGATAGACGGATAACCTATTGCTATTAAGTAGCTTAAGAGAGTCTATTTCCTAAGATACGGCCTACTAATAAGTTAGATGCTAGACTAATTATATTAGATAGATATAAAAGCTATAAAACGGTGCGTTTCTATATTTATCTGCCTAGAAATCACTATTAACCGGGACCAGGATATATAGATAGCTACGGGCGTTTTAAATAACGCCTACCGCTATTACCTTCCTTCCTACTACTCTTATAGCCTCTAGCCGCTAGATAAATATATTCCTAATACTATCGAGACGGCGTATTAGAAAGAACTTAAGAAATTACCCTATCTAACGGATTCAGCTCCTATTAATAAGGTTAATTAAATACGGGCATATACTAAGATACGTAAAGTTAGAATAACTATAAAGAATATTTTATCCGGCTAGAGGGTTACTAGAAATTAGCTAATCTCACGATCTAAGGCATTGCAGCATATAGGAATTTATATAAATACGCTAGAGACACCTATAAATTCTACGCTACTTTTAGCTCCTAATAATATACCTAAGAACCAGCCGCTATATTCGCGATTTTAGAAAGAATAAGACTCCTAACACTCGGAGGCGTTACGCCGTAATATTAAGAAGGCTTTAAAACCTAAGAACAAACTATTGCTAAATATAGTAATAGAATAGCGAAGCTAGAGGCAGAAGTGGCCCGGCTATAGAGAAGCAAGAAGAGGAGAGCAATTCCGAACCCGAGCAAATGGTTTATAACTCTTAGTAAAGATTTAGTAGCTTAGGAAGCCATTCTATAAAGTAGAAGTTAAAAAATGCCCGTTATACTAAATTCTAAGACTAAGGAGGAGGAGGTCTTAGAGGTAGAGTTAGCTTTAGTAACGGAAGTTAAGGCCCTACCTTAGGCCCTTTTTATTACTACTAGATGCGCGAGAGTAGTAAAATAGCGCTAGTATAGATAGGGGCGTTTATTTCTCTATAGAATAATATAATCTTCGTGTTTTTAATCTTAAGTTCTAGTAATATTTTATATAGTTTAAATAGTAGACTTTTAGTAGGGACTTTTTTATTTGCACTACCGAAAGGGGGGTGTTACCGAAAGGGGGGTGGGGTATAGTAGTGCATAGCAGCCCCCTACGGGGAATGCGCGCACTAAAATTTGCTGTATCGGCGCTGCGCTCCTACCAGCCACACTGACCTATTTTTTGGTTAGCATAATAGTTAGAGCGGTAGGCACGTTAGTTAAGGCGTTAGATAACGTTAGCTACCTAGCGTATAGCATACCCCCCTTCTAGCACCCTTTCTTACTAAAACGCAAGCTTTAAAACACTAAATAATAAATATAAGAAGAATAGTTATGCCTAGTAGCTCCTAGAATACTATTAGTAAAATAGCTTAAGTTAGTATTAAAATTTACTTTTTATATATATTATATCTAATTATACTTATATAAAAGCTTAAAGCTAACTTAAGTATTTTATTAGTACTTTATACTACTTTACTTAGTAAGCCTTAATACTTTAAAAAGTATTAAATTAATATTAAAAACAATTCTAATAAAGTAGGCTAAGTAGTAAATAAGCTTTTTTATAGGATATACTACTAATAAAGTAGTTAAAGACTTATAACTAGCTTTTTCTTTTAAGTTATTAAGCAATAAACTTTTCTCCTTATTAAAAAAAGAGGTATTTTAAGAATATCTTATTATCTTTTTATTTAATAGATAAAATAGTAAATAGAAAGTACTTTTAAGTACTAAAAGCTATATAAAGATAAATAGTACTATATAAGTTTTTTAAACTATTTATTTAGTATTTTATTTTTACTATAGGAAAACTAAAAAGTAATATAACTTATTTATTATTAGAAAAAGAAAACTTATAGTACTTTATAAATCTATTATAGCTTAGCTCTTTAGCTATAAAGTTTTAGTCTTTCTACCTATTTTAATAAATTAGTTATAGATTTATAAAAAACCCGACTTTTGGTGGGAAAAGGGTGCTGGAAGGGGGGTATGCTGTAAGCTAGGTGGCTGACGTTAGTAGGGATGTGGATGGAGCAGGCCTTGCTCCGCCACCCCCGTACTCTATAAATCATGGCATGAATCAATGCATGTTATGCGGCAGTCCGCACCAGGCGGTTAATAGGAGCTGCCGCGCATGTCACGCGTTAGAAGAAACCACACCTCCGAGATATCTCAGAGAAAGCCGCCAGGAAATAGGGGATTCCGTTATATAAGGTGTCGGTGAAATGTTATGTCAATACACATCGGAATAAGGGGGTCGGTCACTGCATGTTCTCTCTCTAAAGGGGCAGTCTAAAGGGGCTATTTATACAAGAGGTCTTAGGGCTATCTGGGGACCTCCTGAGTAAGGGGCTTTACCCACGCATATGTGGCTATGCCCACGCATAAAGGGGTAGCCTTCCTTACTCAGGAAGTCTTCATGCGTTCCTGCTACATAGGCCAGGGATCCCTTCTCCAGGTCCCTCCCCAACGTGGCAGCCCTGGTCCGCCGACACCAACAGTCTCGTTCTCGCCAAGTCCGCAGAAAGAATTGGCAAGTTATGGGCACCGGCAAACGCCTTCGTTTACTTGGATTACGGAACCAAGCTATTGTCGGCCGCAATGACAGTACACCGTCAACAATAAGCACGTTCGCCGGGGGCGGGAAGAGTCACTTACGTCACTTCTAGCGCAGCGGTAAAGAGCGCCGCCATTGGTCTATCATCGCTCTTCGCATCAGCAAGCCGTTGGGAATCAATGTGTCTACCACTCGGTTTATGGAACTTACGCAAACTTGGATGCGCTGGCACGGTCCCAGCACTGTGAGCTTGTCGGTGACCTCCTTGCTGATGCGAGCTGCATCTTCGGCGCCGCCTGGTCCGGGTTTTAGCCCAGACAAGCCCCGGCCCCTCGCATATGTACTTTGCATTCGATTGATAAAATACCCAGGGTCTTCATCGGCCTGGGTTCGGTAGGACTCTTTGTACCAAATCGCATATTTAGCCTTGGCCGTTTCAAAGTACTGTTTGTCGAACTCGCCGTATAGCTCCTCCAACTTGTCTAATATGCCCTTCTCCAAGTCTCGTTGGAGTCGTTTCTTTTTGTCCAAGATGCTCAAGCAGATCTGCGTCTCAAGCTTGCCCTCCATCAAGACGTTGCCAGCCTTACCGAGCTTGCTTATCTGATCATCGGTGGTGCTGTTGGTGATGGAAGCCTGCAGCGAAATTGCACGCATGCTGCCCGCTGTTCCCGCTGCAAGGAACAGGACGCCAATCATCTCTGACGAGAACTGAGCGTCTATCATGGCAGCTACTTCAGGCGACTTGAACTGCTCAAATGCTTTGCTGCGATACTCGGCCCACACCGATTGGTAGTGCTCTGGCCGGTCGCCCGGTAGCTTCGATATCGACGCCGCCCACTCGGACGCCTCGGCCCATTCCTTTCCGGCATTGAACAGGAAGCCGGACACTGGGACCACGGTACGTAGCAGATGTAGCCCCACGCCAAATGGCCAGGCCGGGGAGAGGGTAAGCCGGTCGGCGACGGCACACAAGGCGGTATCGAAGTAGTTGGGCTTTCCCTTTTCCGCGTCTGCCGCGCCCTGAGTGAAGCAACCGACAAGCGGTATGATGGAGGTACTGACGGCCACCTGTTCGAGCGCCGTCGACTCCTTGGCAAAGACTTCGAGCATAGACTTGGACCAGAGGATTAGCTGGGGCCCTTCCAATGCTAGACCTCCCTTGAACCGGGGATTGAACGTAACCGTCGTGAGCTTCCGGAATCCCTTGCTATATGATGTACTGAGCTTGTCCCTGAGGCTGGTAAAGGTTATTGGCTGCTTGGCGTTTTTTGCTACTTGGCGAAGCTTATACTTGTCCAGTGACTTTTCAAAGTAGGTTTTCGAGAAGTCGTCCGCTGCCTTTGCCACGTCGTTATTTGTCAAAGCCTTGGACTTAGGGCCTTTGCCCTCCGTAGGGACCTTGTTACCATCAGGAGCCACATCGGTCTTGCCGCCGTTGGGCTTATCAATTGCATAACAGGCCAAGTCTCTCTTAGACTTCTTGCCACATGCTTGGGATAGGATATTCTCAACACTCTCCTCTAAACTCTTCTTCTTGAAATCTTTCCACGAATCCTCCTTCCACGCCTTGTGGTTTGGTGGAAATCCGGCTAGTTCAGGCCTCGCGCTAATATCCCCCGTTCTCTGATATAAGGCGTCGTAGCCTTGATTAGCATTGAAGCCTTTGGGAAGTGGGTCGTCTTTTCCTATTGGGATTTCAATTTTTTGCCATTGGGCTCCCTTTTCCACCTTCATGTGACCTTTTATTTGACCCGGTTCCGCGCCGTTGAGCATCACATATTCCAACTCTTCAGGATGGGGGGAAAATTTCCCAAGTGAATTGTTGACATCGATTGTCTTCTTGTCCGGGCTGACGGCGAACACGTAACCTCCTCTTTCTTTAGCCATGTCCATCGCGACGTTTATGTCCGAGGTTGTGGAAACGTATGCCGTAGTATCCATACTCTGTCCTTTCGCATGTAGAAATAGGCTATAGTGTCTGGTCTGCCCCGGCTGGAGGGGTCGTGGTCTTAATCCATTCTTCAATATGTCATCTAAACTGGCCTTGTCGGACCGCCCGTCGAAGCGCCAGAGTATCTCTGGCGCCTTTTGTTGGACTGAAAGTCCGGGGGGGTCGGGAGGGGGAAGACTACTGGAACCCCCTAAAAGGAAACAGACAATGAGAAGCAGCGTCATCGCTCCCTTCATCTTGAAATTTGGCCGTCAATCCGGTGTGTAGCTGCTTAACTGATCCTCTGGCTTGTGCAACTAAAAGTAAGGGAGTTCGGATAGAAGTAAATAAATAATTGCTACCTTCTACAAGTCTGGCCTTGTGGGTAGGAACGCCGAATAAATATAGGAAGCTTTTATGTAGTAAGGCGTACTGGTTCGCTTTTCAATACGCCCTTTGGGATTTTATCGCTGGTAATTATGGAGCATAATAAGACAGAGCGGAAACGCCAGCCCCACTCTTCAACTGTTCTAAATAGTCTCCCTAAAAGAGAAAGAGTCGTCGAGCCTAGCGCGGATAAGTTAGAAGCGAAGACAAAGAGTGGAGCGGCGGCTACGATGTAAGGCGCACAAACTCAACGGAACCGAGAGTGAAGAACGGGGGCCTATGATCTAACTCACTGATCTCCGAAGAACCTATGAAATCCCTAGAATACATGTAAATACCCTTCTATCGGCGGACCAGGGCTGCCACGTTGGGGAGGGACCTAGAGAAGGGATCCCTGGCCTATGTAGCAGGAACGCATGAAGACTTCCTGAGTAAGGAAGGCTACCCCTTTATGCGTGGACACAGCCAGTAAAGCTCCTTACTCAGGAGGTCCCCAGAAGTCCCTAAGACCTCTTATATAAATAGCCCCTTTAGACTACCCCTTTAGAGAGAGAACATACATCTTGAACCTGGCTGTGTGACCCCCTTATTCCGATATATATTGACATAACATTTCACCGACACCTCTGCATCATCGATTTGGCGGTCTCCACATTGCTGCGTGACTTCACCTCGTCGCCTCTTTCGCTATCGTTGCCCACCGATATGACTCGCGTCGTTCGGGTCGAGACACGCTTGGGAGCTCTCGCGGTTGCATTTTCCAGCGATCGTAACGTATCCTGCACTCGTGCGCTGGGCGTCATCCCTCGCGTCGGACGCGTCAATGGCGACGGGCTAGTTGGATCCAGCCCCGCCCCCACGTCGGCCGGAGGCGCCACTTCAGGCTCTGCCATGATGGCAATCAAGAGCCACACCTACCCCAGAGTAAAGAAATATGAAGAAGAACGGGAATCGAATCGATCGAGCACCAACTCTCTCACCGTCAAGTTAGCCTTTGATACGCTGGTGCCTTCGCCCAATAGGTTACAGTGGGGCCCACCAACGAGCGATGATGCATTAGCTGCACATCAGACGAACAGTGCATCAAGGCGTGGGACCATAGACTGACCTTTATTTCCCTTTTTTCTCCTTTCCATACACCTCGCTTGCTATTTAGCTGGTAAAGCTAGCTGTTAAATTAGCTAGCTGCAGGGGCTAGCTCCTGCCACGTCATAGCCTACACAGCCCCATACGCGTAATTAGACTTTAAAAGTGGGCGCCCTTGGCTACCCATGGGCCGCCTAATTTTTTCAGTCTAGTCTATGGGTAGAAATAGGTTTTAAGATAAAAGACTATATTTACCCACGGGTTATTAATATATACTTTAGGTAAAGCTAGGTACCTAGACTAGCCTAAAATAACTTAGTAGATTCCTATTCGAAGTTACTTTTAGTTAAGCGAATTTATAGAGATTAGAGAACTAGAAGTCTAGTACTAATTAATTATACTAATTATCTCCTTATCTCTAACTTAGAGCTAGGATATTTTTAGCCTCTTTTGCTCCTAACTTTCTACCCTTATACTTCCCGCCGGCTAGGATAAGCTTAAGCCTATCTACGGTTATTATAGGCTCTTTTATACTTAACGATTATAGTAATTCTTTAAATATTTTATCCTTATTAGCCTTATTATCTAAGGGGACTTTATAAGTCTTTTTAATCGTTTAGGGCTATTTATAGTTAGAATTATCTTTATTTTCGCTCCCTTTACTATTAATCTCTATAGTAGTAGTTTTCTTCTTTTACTATACCTTCGATTATCGTTGCTCCTTTAACTACTTCCGCTTCTTATTAAAATTATCTCTTTAGGCCTAAACTTTATAAGCACGCGCTTCTTTAATCTTTACTAGTCGCGTGCTTCGTAGAAGCTTTTATTTTTCGACTCTCGATAGATCGGAAAAGTTATACTAGGAGGTAGAACTATACGCTATAGGAAAAAGGTTAGTATAAACGATTAATATAATAACTTCTAATAAGGTATATATACTAGCTTTATTTTAGACTAAGAAAGACTAGTTTTATTTCCTAAGGATACTAATAATATCCTTAAGAGTAGTAATATCTTTCTACTAAATTATAACTCTTTTAGCCGCGATAGCTAGCCGTCCTATTACTATTTATAGTCGTTAGTTAGTATAATAATTAGTATAATAATTATATTAACTTACCTTAAAATATAGTAGCTAGTATGCTCTCTACCGACTCCTAGATAGCTGCTAATACTACCTTCTAAATATAAAGGCTAGGAGTAATATCTTATATAACCTCTCGAATAAAGCGGGTAAATAAGGCGCGAGGGATAAGTAAATTAGGAATTTACTAGAATTTTCGAATTTCGCGTAAAGTAATAGCTAATATTAAAATTAGTAGGTAATCTAAGAAAGAAATATACTTAAGTCTTATTACGTTTAAGTAAGAAAAGATAAATAAAGACTTACTACCTAGCTTAAATCTTCGTTTACGCTTAATAATACCTACTAGCTTAACTAATTTCCCTTTACCTTTGCCGCTAGTTTTTCCGCTAGTTAGCCGGCTAAAAAACCGGCCGCGTACTATAAGACTAAAAGCGAGATTACTATAAATAATTAGTATATTAATATAAGGCTATTTATATACGGATAGCATACTAACCTTAAAGGCTTAGCGGTTATAGGCGAGTATATATTTATTAAGGAGGGAGAAAAAAAAAGAAAGATTACGATAACGTAAGCTAGTAGTAATAAGCTTCTTAGCTAATTAAAATATAGTTATCTAGTTATAAAGATCTACCGACCTAATCGATTTCTAGTAAAAAGTAAGTCTATATAGGGTAAAGATTTAGTCTTTATTTAGCGTTAGGAATTTTTATTTTACTTTTAATACCTATATTAATACTATATATTAAACGGTAAGTAGTATCTCTCTTTATTTTATACAATATTCTAGCTAATAATTTTAGATATTTTTATATTTCTTAGCTCTCTTTTTTATAGATAATTAAGAGCGATAGCGACGTAGTAAGGGTTCCTAAATACTCCTCTTTACTTTATACTAATCTTTATACTAATCTATAATAGGCCGTCCTCTTAGTATACCTTTAAAAAAACAGAAGGTAGAAGATACCTTATTAATAAATATAAATATAAAGAAAGCGCGCGATCGCGTTACTAAGATAACCGACGATAAGAAAGTCTTCGAAAAGGCTAAGAATATAATACGTTAGGCTATTATACGATTAAGAAAGAAAGTTTAGTCCTCTATAACCTAGATAAATATAAGTAAAAAAGAAAAAGCTACTATAATTATTAAAGACTCTCGCGAAATTAAAAGTAAGTAGTAAGTACTAAGTAGTAACTATAGGAAATAAATTAATCTTTATACTAATTAAAAATAATTTAGTTTTCTACTTAGCCGATATCTAGACTAAGTTAAAGAAATACTTTACCTACTAGTATCGTAGGGCGATATAATCCTTAACGAGGACGCTTTTACTAAAGAGAATACCGACTAGGAGGATATCGACGCTAAGATAGAGAATAAAGCCTAACGAATCGACGAGATTATATTTCTTCTTAATAAAGGCGATAAGTCGCTTAAGTTTAGCGCTTAGTTCGGTAATAAGCAACCTTTTTAAGGAATTAAAGAAGCACTTAAGTAAGACTTAAAGGTATTTTAATTATCTTAACCTTAACTAGTCTTATATACTAATTATTATAGAACTAAGAAGCACTAGTATTTTAATGCTTTTAGAGATACTTTAGTATAGCCGTTTAGTTAATATTTTCTAAGCTATAGGTACTTAAAGTATACCTAACCTTAGTAGTTTAAGCAGTAAAAAGCGTTCTTTAAGAGTAGTAGGAAGAGTAAGTCTTACTTTATCTACTTCTTTATATATTTTTAAGTTAACTCCTTACTAGATTTCTAGAATCCCTTTATAGCTTAAAAATTTTCTTATATTACGAACTATTTTATTAGTTTACTTTTAGTCTTTAAACTAGGCCTTTATAACGAATCGCGTTAACGAAAAGACTATTTATATAAGTACTAGGCTTTTAATAATTTAAGCTAATTAATTAAACTAACTAGATAAATAGGAGACTTTCTAGTACGCGGCTTAAGACTAATATCTATTATTAGGCATTTTAGGTAATTTCTTAACAACGAATTTCGGCTAGGCCCTTAAAGATCTCGATAGTACGCGAGATTTACGGCTATATAAAGTAAGGTAAGGGGAAGAAAAGGAGCTAGGCAATCCTTCCTAGACCTATATAGCTATAGCGAGAGACTAATAACTTTCCTTAATCTATTTTTAAGAGAATCCTTTTAAACTTTAAGAGGTATACTAAGGAGTATAAGAATATACTCTATTAGTTCCTTTTAGGTCTTTTATAATAGGAAGCCCTAGCGTTATTCTAGATACTATTAATAGAAAGCTTTTTAGTTTAAGTTAGCTAGGTAGATATTTAAATCTATAAAAGGTATTTAAGACGTTTTTCCTAACCTATTACTACCCTAGAGAGTTAGCTTAAAAGTAAGGAAAGTAAAGAATTTTAGTATAT